ATGTTTTTCACTACTGCTCTTATCTTTGCTTTTACTGGAGCTATAAAGCATTAAAAATATAAATAATAAATAATTTACATTTATTTACCTATAATAAATATATATGAAGTATTTATCATATAAGATTTCTGAACTATTACATAAAATTAATAATAAGTAAATTATGTCAATCAACATACAGTATTGTCATAATTCACTTATTTAATCTCAGGGTTAATGTAAGTACTAGACATACAGAATCTAAAAGATAAAGATTTCTTGAGCTAATTTCTAAATAAGAACATTAGCAATTACACTAAAGTAAATTATTACTGATTCACAAATATAATTTTGACACTTCTCATTGTTGACAATTAAATTGTCAAGTAACTTTTTATTACAAAAAATGCTTCTTTTAATGTCTTTTGTTGCCAGAACATATAGGATTTATGCAGTCTTATTTACAATTTAGCAAATCTAACCTGTGTTTTTCTTTAGAACTTGAATGCTTCTCTTTATCACTGCGATGCTTGTCACTTCTGCTGCGATCTTTTTCACGTTCCTTATCCTTGTCTTTTGACTTATGATCTTTGGATGAACTTTTGTGATCTCTGTCTTTATCCTTTGAAGAAGATGATGAGGATGATTTCTTATCATTGCTGCTGCTGCTCTTGTGTTTGTCCCGGTCTCGGTCACTACGGTCCTTGTCCCTGTGTTTGTCTCTATCACTGCGATGTTTGTCCTTGTCGCGATCTTTGTCTTTGCTACTGTGCTCACGATCACTGCGCTCTTTATCTTTGTCACTTCGATCTTTGTCTTTACTGGACGATTTATGCGAGCTGCTATGATTTTTACTAGAGGAGTGCTTGTCTCTATCACTGTAAATGAAACATAAGTATTGCAAATTTCATAGATAAACCCGATGAACAATGTAGAGGACATAATAATACAGAACCTTCTGGAAAACTAACCTGCTGAGTTTAGACGAGCTTTTGTGGTCCCTATCTTTGTCTCGGTGCTTGTCTTTGCTTGAGGACTTATGACTGGATTTATGCTTCTCGGAACTGCTGTATCCGTTGTGAACACCGTTCACGTGTTCATTTTTATTACCATTTACCTTTCCCTGAGAACAATATGGGTTTTGAAACATTAGCAAAAATTGACACACATTGTCATCATATAGTGGAATTTAATAATGTAACGAAACTCTAGAATTAATAAGGTCGATTTTAATTCCCGAAACTTTCCAAACCGACGCTTAGCTTCGGCTTGTTCGAACACTGTAGTTGACGCCATATTGGGACTTAGAAAATTTTCGCTTCGTGGAGACTTGCACTCGAACAGTAAACAGCATAATTCAGATTAACGGGAGAGCAAAATGTAATATAACTGATAAATAAGGAATATAGCAATTTAATTAACCACTTACTGATTCACAATCATTGTCGCTAGCGGGATTTTCGACACTCATTTTGCCTACGTATTACCGACCGACGTTAGTACAATACGATTACATGAGGCCGGTCAAGCAAGCGCAAATTCTAAGTGCTGAGAGGTGACGAATGCGCATGCGCCTTTCCTTCTAAGATTGCAGACAACTTCAGGTGAATTGGTTCAATGTGCTAAATATGACGTTGTTCAGGGCAGTTTAGAGTGTAGAATACGTTTTGGTGTTGCAGCACTCAAAATATAGAATGTACATTTTTTGTAGTCAACCCAAAAGTCAAGCAGAAAGTTTATATAAGTTATTACAGTAAACAATTATATACAATTAAAACCAGAAAGTATAATTAAAAAAATGTATTAAAAAAGTGAGAAAAGAAAGTTAGTCTGAATTGTAGAAATATATGCACTAACATGCGTCGCGTCGTTGTTTGGATTTCCAACACATGTTTAAAATATCGGATTCCTGGCTACTATAGAGTTACACTCAAACAGAACATAAACACATTGACATGGTAACGTGGGAGTGGGAAACCATTACACAGCACACGCACACATTAAAAATTACTGACAATTTGGTGCTTCGATCATTGCTAAGTTTTAATACATAAGTAATACACAATAAAACATTTTTTATTTTTTTAACCATTTGCATTATTTGATTATTGGGGCAATTATCACGACATTTGTAACTATCAGTCCTTGCAGTTGGGATTTTTGTTCTAAAGCTTTACTTCTACTTATGCTACTAACAAAATAATTAGTCTTTGTAAAATTGTCTTCGTTTACTTTTTGTATTTGTATCCAATGATTCGTCCATGCATTATTTGCAGCGGAAAGTCTACCAAACCGAAAATAGTAATACTACAAAACATTTACGCAAATTTAGGATACATAGGTACCGAAAAACGTGTGACATACATAACTTCACGCTTGTCTCCCATGGCGGTGGGTAGAAACTAGGTATGGAACACCAATTGCTACGATAAATGAGAATGTTAATGAACTTGCAACACGTTTTCAAAATAAGTTGTAAATCAAAGAGTATAGTAAGTATTTTTTTTTTTAAGGGGGGAAAATCATCGAATGACTGCCCCCGCCTGGGTGAGGCGGGAGGGAGTGTCAGACTCTTACTGACTAAAAACCACCCCGTTCCTTCTCCTGCACGTCGAGGCGGAGCCCCGGTTACCCGTTAGGTTCTCCGCGACAGTATAGTAAGTATATGGGACTATTAAATCATATAATATATGATTATTATACTTCAAACGCTATTATAGCGTTGTAATGAAGTAAAGTCGAAAACGAAGTAAAGACGAATAATGACAAGTAAAGTCGGACGACAGACTGAAGTCCCTCGTGTGTCTGAGTTCTGCGTGTAAGTCTATAGGTAATGCTGTCGCCCTGGCGACACAGTCATTGACTGTGTCTGCCTTTTTTAACGTCCTTGGTTTTAGGTACCTGCTACCTGTGTTATAATATTTGCCGAAAAACGTGTCACAAATTTTAAGCAATACCCAAATGGTGCAAAGAATAATCAGCGTGTTTAAAGTTTTTTATTCAAGTATATAAAATCTCAGTAATAGGACGTATGTAGAAGTGGATATTTTAGGTATACCTTACACGTACCTACACACATAGTAAGAGCCTACAAATGGCAAGTTAAAGCAATGAGCATTAATCACCACGCTTGCTCAATGCGGCTTGGCCATTTCAGAAACTATGAGCCCAGGGTTTCCTTAGGATGTTTCCCTTTACCGTATACGCCACTGATTTCTATAATAATATTAGGTTTTAGAAAACATTTAGTCACTCTTTATTCTTATCTTATACTACATTATTTTTTATTGCACTGCCTCGTCGGCAGAGTGGTCGCGTGTGCGACTGCTGGGGTCTCGGGTTCGATTCCCGGGTCGGGCAAAGTATTAAGTTAACTACTGGGTTTTTTTAACATTCTCAGTAGTAGCACGGAGCCAGACTCCATGTGCCCTGTATATGGCAATAGGCTCACTCCTTACATAAATAGTGAAAAGTAGGTGTTACTGTCGTGGTGGCCCGGAGGTAAGACGCCCGTTTCTCATGTATGAGGGTGCGGGTTCGAAACCTACCAACGGCAAGTACAAATGTGACTTTTTCTAAGTTATATGTACTTTCTAAGATTATCTAGACACCACTGACAAACGGTGAAGGAAAACATTGTGAGGAAACCGGGGCTTATAAATTCTAATTATAAGTTTGTAATCGCCAATCCGCATTGAGCAAGCGTGGTGATTAATGCTCAAACCTTCTCCATGTGAGAAGAGGCTTTGCTCAGCAGTGGGCATTATTTATAGTCTGTTGATGATGATGATCAGGTGTTACACTGTTCAGTGGCATTAACTGCCGTAATGTGCGTCTCCGCCTACCCTCCGAGGATAAAAGGCGTGATGTTATGTTATTTTTTTATAAAACTAAAGAAATTGTTTGAACTAGAAGTACAAGTGTTCTGTGGTTTGAACACGTTAATCTCAGTAACTACTTACTGGTTCGATTTGAATAATTATTTTTGTTGTGTTCATTTGTCCATTCATCAGGAAGGCTACAAAACACCACGCTACAATTAACAGGAGTCGCCCCCCCGACGGCCTCGGACTCCCGCGAGACCTGGTCCCCCCGACCGACGTATCAAGCGCTGCGTGATTCTCCCGCTCGCCAAGGCGAGTTGGTAGAGACCCCGCCCCCCATCGGACACGACCGCGCGCCGCTACCAGCACTCGCCGGGCTCCCCCCCGGCTCGAGCGCGGCCCCTAGCGGCGCCCCCACTGGACATGACCATCCCCCGCCAACAGCTTGCTGCTCGCTGGGCCTGCCCGGCTAGAGCGCGGCTCATGGCGGGGTAAAACCATCGGACTTGACACCGCATCGGGCCCCGTAAGGAGCCCGACTAACCCAACCCCTCGCCTGCAGTCGCAGGCAGCGTTAGACACCGCCGAGACAGGCCTCGGCCTGGAACGCGCGACCTCACGCCCCCAGCCGGGGACGGAGAGATGACCACGAAGTGTAACAGGAGCCAACCAGCGGGTGACTGCACGGTTGGTGCGGCGGCTGGGCAACCGACTGCCGTGCAACGTGTCGCGGGTTCGATTCCCGCACGGAACAAGACTGTGTGATCCACAAATTGTTGTTTCGGGTCTGGGTGTCATTGTGTATGTGAACTTGTATGTTTGTAAACGCACCCACGACACAGGAGAAAATCTTAATGTGGGGGCAACGTATTAAAAAAAAACCGCGTTGGTTTACCTAGTAAGTAGTAGGTAACCTTATAAATTAGAAAGTAGGCATTATATAATCATTACGCGGAAAGTCACATTAGGGTATTTGCAAGGTTTCGAACCTGCATCAACATGTATGTATTTGAAGCGAACATCATAAAAATTGACCAAATTGCGAATAGGTATAACTTTTTGTCGTGATTATTAGTCTCTGTTAGGGTAAGCTACTATAATAATAAACAAAATCGGAAATAAATATTAGTCATTATATATACTATAATATTACCGGTAATCTGAATAATTTCAGTATTCGGTGTGTACAATACTTTGGTGTACTTATTTACAGGATAATGGGGTAATCCGCGACATGCTGGCGAGCGGTCAAGGAAGATGCGTGAAATAAGCCATTACAGCAATAATTACAGAAACACGTAATTTTATTAACGATATTTTATTGAGTAAGATACCTAGATAGGTACATCATTATGTTTAATATAAAATAGTAGTCATTAATATTGAATTGATTAGCAAAGGCTATTAAAATACCATAACAGTATTATGATACTATATCTGAAAATACATTGTATGAAAGTAGTAAATAAATCAATGTGAATTCATCACATGGTTTAAGCTTTCGAGCTTATAGCCTTTTTGTTGTGGATTTATTTTAAAATTGATGTTGTGAGTCGTCACTTTTTATATGAATTATACTAGTTAGTATGTATAGGCACTAAAATCCTCAGTTGTTTAACAAATTATCTTTTTATTATAGTATATTCTAGTATATTTTCTACTATTCGAATTTACTAATATTTTCCAATAAACCTTTTATAATTTATTCTTCAGAATTCATCCTAGCATTCATCTTTACCTTCATATTTGGTAGTTCTTCCAGAGCACGAAAAACAAAATATACTTATTTAACAAAAATGTCAAGGTGCTACTTACTGACAAAATTGTCATTAATATTGAACCTACCTAAATGCTAATAACTAGTTTTTATTTGTTGTTTGGCTTTCTTCTCTTGGCTTCGAATATACAGGTTTTCCGTTTGAATCCCAAGTACTCTTCAGTTTTCTAAATGCAAATGCCATGTACACCGCTAAAATAAAATAAATTTAAATATTAATATCAACAGGACATTGAATCCTTCTAGATGTAAAAGGATTTTAATTTTGTATACTTACTGGCTACTTCCCATTCACTTGTACTCATAGTGCCAATTCTGTCGCGTTCAGTCTTGTTTTCTTTGCTTTCCCAGTATTGCTTAGCATGTTCATATTCTTTTTCATCAGCAATCAGTTCTTTTCCTGGAGGTGGAGGATAACTTTCAAAGCACACAATTTTTTGTAACAGGTGCCTGTATTTCTCAGAATGATCTTTAAAGAAATCAGCAAATCTTGCTTTATATATTAGTTCTAAACCATAATCCGAAGCGAGTTTAGTAAATAGTTTGAAATTCACTAAAAACTCTGGGCAGTCCACAACTCCCTCTAAATGAAAATCATACTTTCCCCCAAAAAGGGGATAGCCTTTCTCAACATCAAAAAGCAATTTAATATTATAAATTCTATTTCCAAATGAGCCATCAGATTTTTTACTTCGGGACACAATTTCATAGGCATCAGGGATAGTCCCAAAAAAGTAACCACCTGGTTTTAAACACTCTGAAATGTTAGTGAGCATTCTCCTTGCTTGAGGTAAGCTTTCAAAACTATAGTGCAGTCCAAATTGGCAACTCACAATATCAAAACTGATAGAAGGATCTCTGTATTTGTCTCTTAATGTGGCCTTAGAACAATCGGCTGCAATGAATTCAGCTGAATACAGCCGACCACCCCTTGTCCGTGCTCGCAGTTCGTCATATCTTGTTTGACATTGTTGAACTGATACCTCGGCTATATCAGCAAATACCACATGTTCTACTCTGGCTTTTTGCCACTTACTTAGATCACCACCCTTTCCACAGCATATATCTAGCACTCTCAATGATCTGCCATAGTCTTTCTCTCTAATTTTGTCGGTGTACTCCTGGATTAGTACACTTTTAACCCAATTATTAAAATTACGGAGGTAATATATGGGAGAATTAAATCGTTCTCTCAAGCCTTTTTCTTCCAGATGGTTATAGTGGGCTGCAACTACAGAGCTATGTTCTTCGGTAGCAGGTTTTTGGCGAGGGGATTCATTGTTGTCGTCATTATGATCATCAGCACTCCTTTTCATGGCTTTTTTCACTTGTGTTGATTCAACCACGGAATCACAATATTTTTCTTCTCTATCCTGAGTAGTATGTGACATTTTCTGTTATTAATTAAGTTACCTGTTTACGTATAATGCACATTACTTGAAATTCGTAACTTGAATGATCTTAGAAATTTATTAACGTAATAGAATTAATCTTTTTTTTAGATGATACGACCTCGTAGCCACTCGTTACACACTAAAAGTTTGATGCACGTTTTACGTCACACGTCGTCACTGTCAAATGTCTATGTCTAAATCATAGAGTATAAAATGTGTGTTATTACATAGATAATATATGGATAGATGGATATTTTTAACTATGGAATTTTTTATGTATCCATGGCACATCCATGGTTATATTATATTAAGTCGGGAATGTTGTTTTTATTTAAATTATATTGATCTCTAGTATCATCAAGAATAATATTACTCAATTATTTTGCCTGTGACCCAGGTTGGACTTGCAGGTATATTAATATTTTGGAATATTGAATACAGGAAAGGAGTTTCATAAAAAAGGGTACTTTGTGGTGAAGACCAGGCAAGTAGCAGTAACTGTAATGACTTCCATTTACTTACAGCCAACCAAAAAGACTTTTACGCGGTGACAGCTGGAACTAAATTGACTTGACTTAATCACCCACTTTGGGTCATATCCCATGAATAAACAATCATCTAAACATAGTAACAACTTATTTTTAAACTCGACAAAAATAACTAACAAATATCAAAACCGGTTGAGTCATTAGTGTACCAGGTTGCCATAGGTTCGATACTGGCGACCTCAATTATTCCAAACTCTTTTTTACCAAATTGTACAAGCCAAATAATTGTTTTATGTAAACTTTCTTAGCACTTGTACAATTGTACTCTTGTACAATGTTGTACACACGGCCACACATCAGTCTATACAAAACCAGTTTATCGTGGTGTCGCGTCGCATCACCTTTCCGCAAATTTAACGTTCAGTTTATACTGGTTACTTAAATAAAGCTCGATGTGTAGCCGTGTGTACAATTATATTATTTTACATTGATTGTTAGTGACATCACATCATCTATATGTTGCTTGGTGCTCCCACACTGCCATCAAAAATATAAACGTCAAAATATTACTTCTGCTTTGACAGCTTCGTGGGTTAATATATAGTTGAAAATACGGCTCAGTGAGTGAGGGCCGAAGGGCAGGATACAGTTCCTGTTTCGGTCAAGTAATATAGGGATTGTTCGGTTTTCTTAAATTTTTGCATTAGTTTTGGTATGAGTTCCATTTACATGGATGAATAATAGTGGATATTTTGTTAAGATTTGCCAGGTTGCCTCTGTACGTGTCTTCGCTGAATAAAAGAAGAGATGCATTTAAATGACGTAATTCTTCTACTTTGATAAGAATATTTCAATATTTCTGATACCTAGGTACAACTCACTTATTGGTATACTAGCTGTCGCCCGCGACTTCGTCCGCGTAGAATAATGACTTCTGGCAGAATTTAGGCTTTTGAATTAGTCTTTATCAAAGGATATTCTACGGTAACGAATGTCGACAGAATTGATTCAGTACCTAGTATAGGGCTCCTCCCCTGTTGATGATAGCGTGATAATATGCAGCCTATATGTTGACCCGACTTGTCAGTAATAATCATGCAAAAATTGAAGTAAATCCATGCAGTACTTTTTGAGATCATCCTGGACAGGATGTCCATGTATGGATATACAGACAAACAGACAAAAATTCTAAAAACCATATTTTTGGCTTCAGTATCTATTGTAGATCACGCTAAATGTATTCTTTAAAAAAAATATTTAATGTAGGTACAGTTTTGACTTTTCTACGATTTTATTTTATATGACGATGACGATGTTCAGACAGAATTGTAATGATTCTTCCCCAATTATAAATAACTTAAAATATGCACCTCAAAAACGTACTTTACCTATGCATACTAAATACTTTAATACACTAAGTCCTAATATTACCTGCCACGCAAGGACAGGTTATTGAGATTGGCTGCATTTGGACCTTAGCGTCATTAGAAAGAAAAAAAAAATATTTGTCAGAATGTGGTTGCAATAGGTATTTTATGTTAATTAATGTCTTTGTCTCATACATTCTACCGAATCGGTGTACCAATATTAGAATTATTTTCTACTTAAATATATTCTACAATAATGATCTTGTAATCTTTGTCATTAGAGATGACGAAATGAGGTATTTTTTGTTATATTACTTTATTATTATTACTGGATGGATGAGGATGAGATTTGGATCAGGGCAGGAGTAGATTATGGTTTGGAATACAACATAGGCTACTGGGTTAGTTTTTATCCCAAGGGATCGCGGGAGTCGCTAATAGAAGCCATTATGGAAATAAGTACAAAATGCTTGATAATACAACTAATTAAGGTTTCGTGATTCGTAGAAGAGATAGGCAGAAAATATTGGCTTATTTCCTACTGCTTTAGGTCATATATTTAGTCTTATACCATACTAGGTCCGTTCTTAAACAAATTTAACTTGGATAAGTGCATAATATGAAAATGGGTATGCAGGCGATAGTGAGACAGGGCAGGTCCGGAGGAGCCAGGCTGGCGGGGTGCCGAGTGCGGCGGCGAGGCGGGGGCTTTGTGCCGTTACGTGGTGCGCGCGCGACGGCAGCGGTGCCACGACGCGGACGTGCTTCACTCAGTTCGTGCGCGAAAGTCGTTACCTGCGTCACACGATAGTACTTGCTCACACGCAAACATTATTTCTACAGCACGCTAAAGCGAAACGAATCAATTCTTCAGTCAAGAGTATCATTGTTTGAATTTAAGTGATCGAGTGCACAGGACCCACAAACATCTAACAACAATAACCTTGTGAAGTAGTGAGAAAGCGCGTGACGTCAGAGACACCGGCCACCGCGATCATATGTTGGACGCGGATGCAGTGATGGAATGTGGAGTGTTGTTATGGTGACGTGCGATGGTGCAGTGTCTTGGATTACCTGGCTTCTAGCTGCAACGCCGCCACAGCGCGGTTCCTCCACGGGAACCATGCGTAGAAAAAGATGAGCCAGGATGCTGAGAGCTTGGTAATATCATTTTTGTAGATCCACTTCGTACTAACATTATCACAATTTGTTAAGATTTCCCATTCCCTTTGCGGTAGGGTGATGAGCGAACAGCTCGAGGAGCTGTCTGACGTCTACTGACAACAACAGTATTAGATCACTATTGAGAAAATTGCAGAGGCGATTTCAGTTTGGCTATTTATAATGATGATGATATTATAGACAGTAAATGTTGCTTACTTAATACATGAGTGTTTACTTGAACTGGTGACGTTCAAGGCTGGCTACATACATGTTGCTTACTTGTAAGTTTGAATAGTATCTGCCTATTTGGTAAAATAAGCAATAAACATATTAAGGCAAATAACTAGATAATGTTAAACACATACACATTAAACGAAATATTTACCGGTTACATTGATAGTAAAAATAGCCTTTATCACATGACTAACGGGAAAATAAAGAGGTCCTGAAACAATACGAATATCCCATAGAGCGGAATAATTTTTGCCTAGGGACCTAGAAATAATATAAATCATGGCACTTTCTGCAGGGAAGTTTTTTTGTATTCTGTATATTGTATTCAACATGTTCTTAATTGGTAATACTTTATGGTCGGCCGATGATTCAAAGCGTGGGAGTTATTTTTCGCCCACAGTAGTGAATAGGTCAACTTACATCTAATGTGACGTATGTGGTACCCAATAAGAGGTATTCAAATTTTAGCTGTCCATGCCGAAAAAATAATTTACGGTATGAAAATATTTATAACAAAAAGTTTACTTTATCGATTCAGAACCAACATCGTCATCAACACTCGAGCGGTCACAGTCATGCCTGCATTGACAAAGTAGGCTAAGTTAACAATAACTTCCGCTTGATTGGTGTGCAAAACAAAAAATATTGTTAAGTAATCGGTACATTGTTATTTCATAAAAAGTATGGCACAGATGTTGATTGCGATATTTGTTTTATTATTTTGGCAATAACGCAAAATGTTGAAAGTGTTCGTGGGACTAGTGGCAGCAACTTGCACACTGTACACGCGCGCTTGCTCCAGTTTCTGAACCATTGTTAACTTTCAGATTTCCTTCTGTTCTATGATAAATGGTACCTTTGATATATCATCATCGTCAGACAGTAAACGTGTCATGGTTTTCCATCGACTCGTTATCTTATTACGATGGCATGATCAAACCTAGATAGAGTAGGTACAAAGTCAGCAGGATTTTCCTATTCCGATTGATGTCTGAAATATTGAAATCCAAGCGGTCCAGAATAAAGAAGACAAGCTATGAAGAAAACAAGAATAGCTTATCTTCCTCATTCTGGATCGTTCTCTCTAGGCCAACTGTTCATAACTTCAGTTTTCAAACCAGAACCTACATATGTATACATTCTACCAGAGAACTGTTGTAAAGCTTTGGAATGATTATTATTTTAAAAGAAATTAAACACAAATACCACTGCTTTGAACGCTTTGCTGATCTACTCGTATTATTTGACTTATAAAATTACATAAATATTATATGACAATTGTATCTTTCGTTGCTTTTAATCTTACTTGATATTCTTCTCTTATTCAGGAGGTTAATTGTTTGGTTTATCCTGAACAGAATAGGTAGCTATATAGAACAATGCCGTTTTCTGACACTTATAAGTACACTTATACACCTATGCATCTTTTTCCCCAAATGACAAGTTTCCTTCTAAAACCTCTTGCTTTGTAATACTGAAAAAATTAAAGTTATTTGCAGAATTTTTTTTAGATTTACTTATAAAGTTGCCTGGGCTTAATATTTATGATAGGCGTAAACATAAATCTATCGTTTTCTTAGATGACGTCGATGCGCGAACATTTCGACAATCGCATTTTTCTGTAGAAAGTGAAACGCTCGGAGTCCGGACCTTCGGTTAGCACTTTCACGTTACATTGCGTTCCATAGAACTTTAAGTAAGAGCTCGCGCAATAAACAAGTTGTTTTATTAATATACCTCCGTTGCTGACTTATGATTTGTATACGTAATATGCTAATAATAATATCTTTTATGTGTATGTGTATATTTACAAGGTGTAAAATAGATAAAAAAGATCGTAACTGTGCTATGACTACGTTTAATTTTTAATTTCAGGACTTTCATTTCTCATTGATTGAAACTGACTATGACTTGCTTT